TGTTTACTTATAAGAGAAATGGACCGAGAAATTGAAGCGGCATAGACAAAGACGGATTGTCGGGGATTAAATTTTAGCTACCTGCTACAATTTAGTACAACCCGGTCTCACAAAGTTTTTTTAAAAGTACACCTCATCTATACCGATAATCCATAATATAAAAATATTGAATATAAGCACCAGTACTACATTTATTTACTATTTGCATACATAATAAGCTTTTACTACTCTCTTTCATTTCTAAACAGACTATAGTTGCCGCCGAATCTTAAAAATTCATAAGTATCACTCTTACAAAATTAATTTGGTACAAAAAATTAATGAAGACGATCCTGATCGCCGCTTGCAGTTCTGTGAAGAAATGAGTGATCATGCTCGTAGGAATCCAAATTTTTTGTATTCAATCTGTTTTTCCGATGAATGAAACTGGATGGTCGAGTCAACGCCATAATTGCCGGTACTGGAGTGATGATGCGGTGATCCGCCCATTTTTCATGAAACTTATACGCAGCATCTGAGGAACTTGGGCTTTATAGGGCCTTTATTCCTACCGGGAAATCTGGATGGATGCATGTATCTGAATCTACTGGAAATGAATATCTATCCGATGATTGTGGTAGTATTTGCCAGAAGAGAATGTGCGGTTTCACCAAGATGGTGCTCCACCATATTATGCCCTATCTGTACGTGATTTTTTTAATCGGAACTTTCCAAATGACTGGATAGGATGCAGAAGTTCAATTGAGTGGCCTCCCAGATCGCCAGATCTAACGCCCCTAGACTCACTTAAGGAGCTTCGTCCAAATTGTTGAAGAATGTCATCAGATAACGACTGAAATGCTTCGAAATGTTCGTTCGGAAGTGGAGCAAAGATTTTATTATTGTATGTATAGAAGCGGAAGGAAACCAATTTGAACACTTAATAAATTAACATTATTTCTCTTTCATTCATTGATATTTTGTCTTATTCTTTAAGTGATGATTTTATTATTATATCCAAACCAAAATTTAAAAAGTCGTATATCCTCGTGAGCAGAATTGAAAAAGCTTTAAAATGAGATGTCACTCAACATAGGGTGTCATTTAAAGTTTAAGGGTATTTTACCCCTCTACGAAAGGAGTAGTTTCCAAGACACCAAAACTTACGCATGATATTATCAAGGTGGGAAGTTCTAATTGAAACACCCTGTATAAAGCAGATCACTAAGAAAATATTAAGCAGTTTTCTGCTTTGTTCTCTGCCATATATGAAAATGCCGGTTTTTATGTAATGTTACTTTATTTACTGTAAAACGGTTTACTTATTGTCGCTAAAGTGTTTCATTCCAGAGAAAAACGAATTAAGAAAAATTGTTTTTACGTTGTCGCAGTTACAGACAACTTAATATTGCGAGAAACTCTAATACAATTAAACCTTTTGTTAAATTTGTGCCTTTGTTAATTAAATACTTNAAATTCAGGATATCTTGAAGAATTTTGACAAATTGCCGACGTTAAATACACAAAATTTCAAAAAGGTTGAAAATAATGTTTTATAAGTTACAGAATACGATACAGAATTCTACATTAGAAATTGTTTTTGTATTAAAAATGTTTATTTGGTGATCTCATAATCTAAATGGCACTAATAAAAGTCACATTTAACAGAATTCTACATTAGAATTAATTTTTATATACAATATGTACGGGTATGATCTCCAATTCTAAAAATAAAATAAATATAATGGTATCTCGACTTTCTAGACTGTGACCCTATATATATTTTTTATTCGTATAGAAAATAAACTAAATTACAGAGTACGCTAAGTGTGTTTCTGTAATAATTTTGTATTTATTCCGAATTTTCAAGAACATAAAATAATGATACGGATTTTAGCGGACTGTATGTGTATGAACAAAAATTGATTATACAACAAAAAGAAGTATTAAAAGAGCTGAGAGACTGGTCGCAAAACGGCTTACCGATGTTCTGTTGGTGCAGTAGATACCACTATCTACTGCACCAACATGCCTGCAGCATTGAGTCTGCTGTGTCACTTATACAGGGTCGGAAAGTCCCCATGGTTCATCGGCCGTTACGTGAGAGCGATAAAGATAAAAGTCATAGAAATTCGTTCGATGAAGAAAGATGGCTATAATGAAAGCGACTAATAGTCACCGCCCGTTTCGCCCTTCCACAAATAAGATCCACTTCTTATTTGTGGAAGGGCGAAATGGGCGGTGACTATTAGACGCCTTTTCAGTTTTTTTTTTCAATCCCGATATTATCAAGGTGGGAAACTCTATTTGAAACATCCTGTATAAATCAGATCGCTAAGAAAATATTAACCAGTTTTCTGCTTTGTTCTCTGCCATATATGAAAATGCCGGTGTTTTATGTAATGTTACTTTATTTACTGTAAAACGGTTTACTTAGTGTCGCTAAAGTGTTTCATTCCAGAGAAAAATGAATTAAGAAAAATTGTTTTTACGTTGTCGCAGTTACAGACAACTTAATATTGCGAGAAACTCTAATCCAATTAAACCTTTTGTTAAATTTGTGCCTTTGTTAATTAAATCCGTTTTTTATACGACTGCCTTGCAAAAGGGGGTTTTTCGCACGGAAAACACGCTTTGAAAACGGTATTTTGCACACGCCGTGTGCTAAACATTTTGCACACGGTTATGTCATCTTTGCACACGCGTCTCCAGATTGTGATTTTTGTTTGATGTTGTCACCCAAATTATGCAATGTTTCAAGTTGGCTGAGTTTCATAGCAACCGTCACGGCTCCTTTATTTTGTTGATTAGATACTTCAAAAATTGTTGAATTCCCGAAGTTTGGGTGTGAAAATGTGTGATTCTGAAGAGATTTTACAGAAAGCAAGCGAAATATGTTCGGAACTGCTGCCCACAAAATCCAGAAGCAGGTATGAAGCTGAGTTAAGCCGATTTATGGACTGGCGACTAGCCAAAAATGTCCAAACTTTCTCAGAAAACGCAGTAATGGTGTATTTTGAAGAACTATCTAAGAAATATAAATCTTCGACGTTGTGGACGATTTTTTCGATGCTCAAGTCAACGTTAAGTGCCAATCACAACATAGATCTTGGAAGCTATAAAAAGTTGCAAGCGCTAATCAAACGAAAATCCGAAAACTACGTCCCAAAGAAGTCCCAAATCCTCACAGAAGATGATTTTTGCCGGTTTTTGACGAAAGCATCAGACGACAAATATTTACTTATCAAGGCGGTGGTGGCAGTTGGACTATCTGGGGCATGTCGAAGGGAGGAATTATGTTATCTCAAAATAGAAGACACCAAAGATTTCGGCAGTGCTATGCTGATTAAACTGAAGAATACAAAAACAAAGGTACCAAGGTGTTTTACAATTACAGGAAACCTTTACACTATCTTAAAAAAGTACTGTGCTCTTCGTCCTCCTAATCTGAAGACAGGCAGGTTTTTTTTAAACTATCAAAACGGAAAATGTTCAAGCCAAAACGTTGGCATCAACAAAATTGGAAACATGGCTAGGGAAATCGCCAAGTTTTTGATGCTAGAGAATCCAGAAAGTTACACGGGACATTGTTTTCGGCGTTCATCGGCCACAATTTTAGTCAATTCTGGCTCAAATCTGCTTGCCCTCAAACGCCATGGAGGGTGGAAATCCAGTACAGTTGCCGAAGGCTACGTTGATGACTGTTTGAGAAATAAAATGGAAGTTTCGAAAAAGATAGAGTCTTCAGTGTCTTCTGCTGCCACAGAACCAGAACAACGATCGTCTACTGGAATACAACAAGAAAACAACGACCGCACGCTGAAAAACTGCACTAAAAACACGACACCAAAAATATTCTCTATTACCGAAAACAAGGTGCACAATAATACTGCTTTTCCCAGCGTAACCTTGAAGGAATGTTCAAATGTTACCATAAATATTAAATATTAGTTTCTTTTGTTAATGCGTTAGCAATTTTCTTAATAAAAACGAGTTAAATTAAAAGTTGTATTTAATTTATTTTGTTAATGCGTTGGCAATTTTAGTAATAAAAACGATTTAAATTAAAATTTGATTTTTGTGGTCTCTGTTTGCAGTCGTATAAAAAGTATCGTAAAAAACTCGTTTGAAAACCTCTTTGCACACTCGCTCGACTTGTGGACCTCGCCTTCGGCTCGGTCCACCAATATGTCTCGCTCGTGTGCAGAGTCGTTTTCAAACCTTGTTGTCTATTTCAATTTAGCCATTACAGAGATTACTATAATTTAGTAGAAAGATCGAATTTAATTACAATTAGTTTAATATGCCCCAAAAAAAAATCGCTCTCTCCTGAAATAATTGATAACAATAGTGACATTGCTAGTGTAATTCAATGCTAAGCGGGGTATACAGCTAGCTCGTACAGTAATTGTTTCTAGCAATATCATCACTTAGTTTTGCTTTCGTCCTCACAGAGAAATCACTGGTCAAGCTCTTAAAGTACCTGTAATTCAGGTTGCTATGTATAATTTTTTTACTTCTTTGTAGGTCTCAATCTGATTGTAGCATTGGTCACTAGATGTAGCCCTCGGTTATTTTATTTGTACAAGGTGTCTCAAACTCGATAGTATGGACCTACTGTGGTGATATAAAATATTTAAATTAAATTTGGGACAAGTGGTGTTAAATGGGATGAGGTAAGCTCCATTTTATTAATCGAAAGTATTCTCTTAGGGATTTGACAAAAACGGCTAATGACGTCATCAATTATATTTTATCCAGAAACATACCCAATTTTTTTTCCTTGGTAAAAAAGCTCTTTTTTTATATATTATTATTTACAACAGGAATGTCGTCTAAACATTTCTAAACTTTCGAATAATTACAAATAAATTAAGCTTATCTCCTGACTAAACTTATCACCCAGGAATACGCTTAGCCGCAGATAATATACATATCACCAGTGCCTAATTCTGTTTCGCATTTTTCGTTATCAAATTTTTTCGCATAACCTCAACATCCGCTTACGTTTAAGCATAATTATAATTATAAGTCGACAATGTGCATATGAAACTTTTATTTGCAATCACTTCCCAACATCAAAAAGAACTGAAAGCATGTGCAAGTTAGCCGTTGGTGCTGTCCTACAGCTCATAGGATTTGCCTTAGTGGTAGCCAAACCTAGAACTGTTGATAATGTTGTGAGTACACATTTTTTTTTAATTTAGATATGAAATATGTGATTAGTTCGTGTGAAATTTTGGAAACTAACGCAAGGAGGAAACTAGTAACATTACATCTTCTAAAAAAAATCATTTGCGTTCCAAAAAATTTAATTTTAAACTTTAATCAAATGTGTTCCGGACAGCGTACCTTTACAGTGTACCTTTTTTCTAAACATTTGTCTTCAGACCCATTGCAATAGGGAAGATTTTGTATAAGATAATATTTCCTAGTTCTTGTTTCAGTTAACACCGTATTTAGAAACATCCTGTATAAATATTTTTTGTTTATTCAGAAAAAAATTCCTAATTCTACCAATTTCATTATAATAACCTATTTATTATAACATTTATACTGTTTCCTTAAACAAAAAAGTTTAGAAGTATACATTTATATATGTGTTTCTATATGCAGGATTTCCAGAAGCGATGGATCGTAAATACCTTATTTTTAAATTTGAAATAATTCTTTTTAGAAGATTTATCAATTTTTATGCGTTATTGTAAACTTAGCTTATTTGGGAAAAGCGATTTTGATCAAGTGACCTTAGTATAATTTTGCTTCCTTAAAAAGTTATAGATCTTAAGATAACTTTTAAATATTTCAATAATATTTCATATGGAGAGGTTTTCGAGATATATACAGATGCAGCATGAGAAATGGAGTCAATATTGTAAAAAAAAAATTTGTAAAATCCTTATAGTTTCTGAGAAAAAAATTATTGAAGTTATAGCACATTAAACCACTACATAACTGGACAACTGTAGTCTCTAGCGTCATTCGCAATACGCGTGGAGAGCCATGTGACTCCTAATACTGAAATCCGTCGTTGCGGTAGTTTTCACCTGTTATCTGTATTATTTACATCAGTTTTTTAGTAGTTAGTGTCAAAAATGGCTTGCGTGTATAGCAACTCAGAGTTGATGGATATCGTTTTAATTTATGGTGAAGCAATACAACATTTGTATTATGGTGAAGTATTTGTGTTATGGTGAAGCAAGACATCATTTGTGTTAGTTCGTAGAAAGTGAGTAAGACGGACCCAAATGTGTTTACACGTGAGTGGATAAAATTTTGAACAATTGCTGTTGCAGCATCGGGTATGTCAAATGATTTTATTAATTAAAAACACAAATTAATTTTATTAATTAATAACGGCAAAAGCAGTTGAATTTGCCGATATAAAATAGGTGCGATAAAATTCTATTTACATATTTCTTTCCTTGCGAAAGTTTTTGTCCGTTTTTATCACACCGCCATGACGGTCGCATTGTGCTAGGTCAAGTTTTACACTGGACTAGTTTCCAGTGCCGTGCAGAAGTGTATATTTAAATCAATTTCGAACTGACCTTTTTGATTTTTTCTTTACAAAATTGTATTTGTAAGGGTCCCCTGTACATTCAGAATTTTTTTTTGGATAAGTTCTGAATCACCCTGTATATCTTTATTTGGATATTTTTTTATCTAAAACATGGTAGTCTTAGAGATTGGTGTCAAAATCCCCCGTGATCAAACTAATGGCCAATTTTGTTTTTAATGTGTTGGTCGTATGTTCAGAGTTTGCTGACACCCTTTGTGGGGCACGGGTTGGGGGTGCGGGGGTAAATACGAAAATCGCCCCGTGATCAGATTAATGTCAGCAACTCATAAAATATATTCTAGACCTTCATGGGAGTACGAAAATAAAAGTTGCTGACAGCCTAGTTGGGACAGGGGCGTTTAAAACGGGATAAAATGTACTACTTACCGAGCGCGCTAGCCGCGTGCGGGAAATGCGAATATAATCTGGGCGAATTAGTTCTTTTTTCAAAAGTCGGGCCTAACTCGAATTTTATGGGCTTAAAATTAAGTATAAAATACACAGAACAAAAGCCTAAATTTGTGTATTTGTAGAGGTCGAACGTCATATTGTTTATAACAAAAGAAAAAACATTATTGCTCTTTTTTCAGTTTTTCGCTAATATCTACGAAAATAAGCCTCTAATCAACATGAGGCATACTTATCGATTTTCTTCCTGAGGAAATTTGCTACGAATATAAACTTTTGCAAAAGCTCGCAAAAATTTTTTTTACATTGCAGAATTAGCAGTGAAAAAAAAATGTGCAAAATTTTCAGAATTAAATAAAAAGAACAAATTAGACCGAAATTAGATGAAACTACAGGAAAATATAACTATTGGGGTGCTCAACAATTATCCGCAATTCGGACCCCGAATTTCAAAATAGCGGCCTATTGCAAAATTATAAAGACGATAACGCAAGTGCGTATATTTTCTGCTCAAGTCAAAATATCGAAATTTTGTAGAAGTTCGAAAGGTAATTACATTATCTCGCGTCTGTGCAAATTTCAGAATTTTAAGTTGCAATATAAAAAAGTTATTAACAAAAAACCAAAAAAAAAAACGGTAACTAGGGTCCTTATCTCGGCAATTGTTTAATATACAGATTTCAAATCAATTGTATCAAATAGTGCTTAAAAAACATGAATTAAGAAAAAAAAAGCGTCTCGATCCGACCAGTAGGAATCGAGATATTTTTTTTTTCTTTAAACGGTATTTTGGCTATTCTATTTAATATTTTGGAATAACCTTGGTCTCGTTGTAAAGTAGAAGACTTCCTTTATACGCTGAATTTTTTTTGAATGGATTCGACCAAGAAGTGACCAAGTAAACGTTCGTTAAAGACAGCGTGATCGGCTGAGCGGTAGTTAGGAGAGGGGAGCGCTATGACGTCATAGTACCCATGCTGCCCTCAACTTCTCAAAATTCTTACTTAACAAATGGATTGTGGCATTTAGAAAGCAGCCACCGGGTTGCTTTTTTTAAACTAACTTATTTTTTCCACTCTTTCGAGTGGTGTAAGCAAAAGTCTGTGAAAGTCATCGCCAGATCCAGAAAAATACATTTTTATTGACTTTTCACGTTTTCTTTTGTAATTTCATTGTGCTTTCGATATTTTGAAAAGTAAGGATGTCTTTTTACGTATATAAAAACAAAAGTCAATTATTTCTTTGAATGAATAAAAATTTACCGTGCTCAGAAGAGGTCGATGTATAAAATATCGTCTCAAAATTAACTGTTACACTTACTGCGTAAATAATGTACATTCAATTCTACCATATTGTATTTAGTGAATTGTTTTGCTAAAGAAAGTTGTCTTTTTTTAATTTTTATAATATTAAAAATAAATTTTTTTAAGCGCTATTTTCATTTCTAATTTCAGTAAAATTTGTTCTTTTTATTTAATTCTGAAAATTTTGCACATTTTTTTCACTGCAAATTTTTCAATGTAAAAAAATTTTTTCGAGCTTTCGCAAAAGCCTATCTTTGTAGCAAATTTCCTCAGGAAGAAAATCGATAAGTATATCTCATGTCGAGGTTTATTTTCGAAGATATAAGCGAAAAAGAAAAAAGGGTAATATTTTTTTTCTTTTGTTATAAACAATATAACGCTCGACCTCTACAAATACACAAATTGAGGCTTTTGTTCTGTGTATTTTTTACTTAATTTTAATCCCATAAAATTCTAGTTAGGCCCGATTTTTGAAAAAAAAACCTAATTCGCATATACTTACCGCACGCAGCTTGCGCGCTCGGTAAGTGGTACATTTGACCCCGTTTTAAACGCCCCTGCCCCAACTAGGCTGTCAGCAACTTTTATTTTCGTACTCCCACGAAGGTCTAGAATATATTTTATGAGTTGCTGACAGTAATCTGATCACGGGGCGTTTTTCGTATTTACCAGCGCATTCCCCAACCCCTGCTCCACAAGAGGTGTCAGCAAACTATGAAACCGTGTTATTCAATATAGGACCAACACATTAAAAACAAAATTGGCCATTAGTCCGATCACAGGGGATTTTGACACCAATCTCTCCGTCTACGGTTTTAGGAACATTTCTTATAGACCAGGGCGGATCAGTTTTGAGGTGGATATGAGAGGGGGTAAACAATTTTTTTCTGGATTACCTTCAGTACAACTCACATAATAAAAAATAAAAGTGTAGATCCCTAGATTTGGGCGAGGTCCGGAGCATTTTCAAAATTGCAAAAATGTTTAAAAAATTTAAAAAAATACCTATTTTATCTGAGTTTTTTACTTATATCTTGGAACCTATGCGTTTTGGAAGAATATTGAAGAGGAAAAAAAGTTTTAGAATTGAATTTTGCACAATATAGTGTAAGTTAAAAATGTTTAAATTTATTACCGATGTTTAATAACGAATTTTTTTGTTAAATACAGATAAAATTAAGAAAAAATAGTACTTTAAAATTCCAATTTTTGAAAAAACTAAATTGCAAATTGATGAATATAATCTAATAGTTTAAAAATAAAAAAGAGAATGTTAACTTTAAAAATGTATTGTGGCCGTCCTAATCAATCGATTTCAATTTTTAAAAAACCATTTGAAGGGTTGAGCGGTTTTTTCTATGTGAAAAAATTTTCAAGTATCTAGATGCTTTATTTGAGGCTGAACATTTTGAAAATTCGAAAATGTTTTTTCAAAATTTTTTTCAAAAAATTATTTTGCGAAAATTATAGAACCGATTTTAATGAAATTTGGTGTGTTGTTTTTTTATATTCTAAAGTTCTTTTTGCCAAAATTGGAATGCCCTCGGAGCAATTAAAATGTTTTTAAAAAATTATCCAAAAAAAACTTGATTATTTTGCCTTTTATCATCAATTATTGTTATTTTACAACATCGGTAATAAATTTAAACATTTTTAACTTGCAGAATATTTTGCATAATTCGATTCTAAACCTTTTTTCGTCTTCAATATTCTTCCAAAATACATAGATTCCAAGATATAAGTAAAAAACTAAGATAAAAATAGGTATTTTTTTTAATTTTTGAAACATTTTTACAATTTTGAAAATGTTCCTTACCTCGCCCAGATAGATCTGGGCGAGGGGATCTATACTTTTATTATGTGAGTTGTACTGAAGGTATAAAAGTTAGCTTGCCCCCTCTTACATCCAAAAAGTGTGATATTTCGATAGATCCGCCCTGGTCTATTATGTTTATAGAGATTTGGAGAAGAGAGATGGTTTGAATTGTCACTTTATATGCTTTAAAAAATGTATGCCCCTTTTCAAAGAGAAACGGATTTAAATTTTTTACTGCTGTCATCGTTTTAAAAAACATCTGTGCTTTCTTTAGACATCTGCCAACAAAAAAATGTGGCAAAAGACTGTTTAAGATGATATTACCGATCTCTATGTTTTAGGTAAAAAAAAATAACTTATGAATATAGCTATCTTAAAAACCCCCCTATGCGATATTTCATTAAATATCTTTAAATAATGTGATGGAGTTGTCTTAAAGAAATGAAATAAAAATAAATTTTTGGCGGCCCATAACTTTTAAAATTGAATTAAGGAAGCTACTTTGAAGTAAGTAAATTTGAAAGCAACTATATTTATTTTTTACAACTAGATCTGAATACCATCATAATTATTCCTTACAGTATCAACGAAAATATGTCATTGAATTTAACTTCAAAATTTCGCATTTTCCATATTCTTTCGGCAGTACTACTCATATTTATTATTTGTTTCATAACAAAATAACTTGATATCTAAATAAAGAATGGCTCGAGGAAAGTCCTGTTTTCCCCCTAAGAACTTTAACTTTTTGTAACATTCTATATGTACAGCAATATAATTATGTTTGTCCTAGGGATTACATGATACTGAAAAAATTATATCACCGCAAAGACCTGCTGTCAATCAAGACTTCCTCCAAACAAATCATCAGAGAGATTATTCAGACAACCGAGACTACCCCGGAAGACCTGAATATTATTACGATTACAATCAAAATTATTACGATTACTTAGAAGATAACTACCAAAACTACCCCGAACAATATGATATAATAAAACCGAGACAAAAATTCATACAAGCTCTAGAAAATCCTCAACGTACCCGTCAAAAATTCTCTAGATCAGCGGATTACCGTATCCATTATCCCATCGATGATTACCCTAATGATGAAGACCATCTTAGTGATGATCCTAAGGAATACCGTCCTGTATGGGAAAAGTGAAGTTATTTCTATTATTGAACTTTAATATCGCAGTGAAAGATTAAAAATGTATCGTGTTTGAAATAGCTTTTGTAAAATAACTTTAGTTAAACTCCAAAACTTCAATATAAAAATGTTAATTTGATTTTTGCTTTCCTGCTGTTGTTTTGGTACATCTTGTCTCATTTATGTTGCCCATTCAGTTATAATAAAAATTTACACAATTATAGCGCTGTTGACTGTGATTTATATACAACTCACTACAAATTGTGTCAAACATCATTAACAAATTGAATGCACTAAATTGTATTAAATATTATTTACAAACACCTAAGTTATACAATAACTTGTGTTGTGATATTACTCAAGTTAGGCACATCTAGCAAATAACGTATGATAATAAAGGTTTATCTAAACAGAATAAGAACTAAATATAAATCATACTGACTGAGGTGGAAGAACACTAATATCATCTAGATCTAGATGTATCGTATTCTCTAGTGAATTATCACTTTTTCCTATGAAAACATTTATTCTGATTTTGAATTTATGATTATTTTTTATATTAGCAGACAATTTATTAAACATTTCAGGTGCTTAAGAGAACACAAAATGTTGGGCAAGATTTAACTGACTGTACAGCACTGAACCTTTTGAAATAGTTGTGGTTAATACAAGTAAAATGTAATTTATAACATTGTAGTATGGAATCATAAGCATATAATTTCCTAATACTAATAATATTTAAGTAATCAGCAATTCAGTAGAATATTTAAAATCTTTTTAAAAAATAATTTTTAATGCAGTATTTTGAATTACTTGCAAATTTACTAAATTATTTTCATACAAGGCACAGACAGTATAGCTTATCGCTTCAGACTGCGCGTTAAATGCTAGAAATTGCAAACCTAAAAAGGATGCAGGGTCTTGTTAGCCGACATCCAGGAATAAAATTTAGCATGGTAACTCTTCAACTTGGTAATAGGAGGCAGTTCTAGCGCTGGCTTTGTTGCCAAATAATAACTGCCAAATAAATTTAATGCATTTAATTATGTAATTGAAGAGTTATTTGGAAATTATCTTTTGTTTGGAAACGACATTTGTGTTAAATGCTAAATAAAATAAATCAAGTTAGAATTAAAGCTATGAATTTATCTAATTAATTATTTATTTTATATAGGCGAACTCTTGGAGAATTGGTTAATTCAAAAACTTGCAATTACTGTTTACAGGTTTGTGCGTCGACTTCCAATTTTTTATGATAATCACACTTATGTTTAAAAAAATTGCAACAGGTTGTGCAAAAATGTAGCAAATCACATATTTTTTACTGAATATTCTGTATTTTATCATACAAAAGATTGCAGTCCAATAAATATACCGTGTATCCTCAGTTGGGTACTGTTCTCTTATTATTGATTTCTGTGCTCATATTTGTGATACAAGGTGTTCAAAAAATTTAAACAATGTAAAATTTCCTTAAGATAGGTATCTTAATTTTTTATTTAATAAAATTGTTGGAACCTCAAGGAATGATTGAACACGAAATTTATTTAAAAAAAACAACAAATCATCAATCAAAAAAAATTAAAATGGGTTATTCTGATGATGAGAAATAGAACATACTTAATTAAACTGTATTATTCAAATAATAATAATGTGCAAAAGTTCTTCAGGAATACCGGCAAATTTATTTTGGAGGAAGAATCCCTTAGGTGGCTAGAAAACAGCCCCGATCTCAATCTCTTAGAGTTATTTTTATGGGGACACATCAACAAAATATATTAATAAAGACCTCAAAATTGAAAGTATTGAAAGAAAAAAATACAGGATGAAATGTTTGATAATTCTGAATTTGTTTTTAATGCAATAAATAGTAAATTAAAGCATATTTTCAACTGTATCATTACACCAGGAAAATTAGCGAAAATAAAAGAGAAACTCGAAAAAATTCCTATCCGCGAGATTATTGTAAAATTGTCTAAAAAGGAACATAATACAAGACATCTCTCGTCTCGAGAGTCAAAAAATTTTATTAGCTAACTTTACTATTTAAACAAATAAGTGAGGAAAACAGTTTTTTCATGTTGCAGGGAAAACCATAAATTTTAGCGAAAAGTGACTCACAGACAGCTTGTAGAGAATAAAATTATCTACAAAATGATACTTGTTAAATTAAAATCGGTTAATAAACAAAAAAGTTATTGCAAAAAAATAAGAAAAGTGCCCATTTTTT